ACCAGCAAAAATTAAATTATGTAACTTATATTTAATTATTTATTCTTTAACATAATGATTTTAATACTTTATTACAATGCAAGGCCTAGACAAGGCAATTAATAAGTTGCTTTCAGATGCTGAACATAGATATTGTGCTAAACATATATATATATATATATATTAATTAGGTTAGTAATGATCATAATGGTGAAGAAATGAAAAATGCTTTTGGAAGATTGCTAAGATGAATACAGTTGCAAGATTTAAAAACTATTTGAAGGAATTAGTTGGTAAGATATCAAAAGTAACTGAAAACATACTTAAAGTCTCACCTTAACAATGGTATAGAACATGTTTCAACATAAACTTCAAAATTGATTTTGTGGATAACAACTTATGTGAAGCTTTCAATGGGACATTATTAGATGCAAGAAAAATGTCAATTATTTCTTTATTTGAAGACATAAGAAGAGTCATAATACTAAGAATTGTGAGGGAAAAAAAAAAACAGCAAGTGGAGAGGCACCATTGGTCCCAATGTTTGGAAAATCATAAAGAAAAATTCAAAATTACATCTATGCATATTGTTAGATTTAATGGTGATCTTAGATATGGAATAGATTTATGAGAAGAAAAATTTATGGCTAATTTGAACCAAAAGACATGTTCTTATAGAAGATTTACACTTTTTGATATCTTATGTGCACATGCCATATATGCAATTAGAATGAGGGAAAATGTGAAAGATTACATCTCTAGTTGGTATTATAAGAAAATTTACATGTTGGTTTATGGTAATGCTTTACAGCTCATGCTTGGGATGAAATATTGGCTTAAATCAATGACAGAAAAGCTAATTAACCCATTAAAGTATAGAAAGATACCAAGAAGGCCCAAAATCATTTGAAAAAAAAACTTTAATGGGCCAAACAAATAAAATAGTAAAACTTACAGTTTGTCAAAGTAAGGGAATGATTTGATATGCACATCTGTCATAAAGAAAGGTGTAACAAAAAAAACTATCTTATGAGGGGTAATGAGGTCATTCATACTATTTTGTCAAATTATGTAATAATTTATTTTATTTATAATTCATTTCACTTTTAGATGCACTAATTCAAACCTAACCCTTTATAGTAGTAACCATCTCAAGGACAAATAACTAGAGACAACATTGATATTGGTGGGTTTTGTGCAGAAAATGCAATTATGGTGTCAATTGAGTTGCAAGACCAAATAAACATAAAAAAGGTAATGCCTCTACCTTTATTTATGCCTTTACTTTTGCCTTTATTTTTGCCTTTACTTGTATTGTTTCTGCTTTTGCTTTTTTTACATCTTTATTTGAGTTTGCTTTTAGGCATGCATTTACCTCTATTTTTGCCTTTAGGCATGTATTTGCATATACATATATATGTTTATACATAGTTATGGATTATCAAGAAAATCAGTCCTAATAAGTAGAATTAAAAGCTATTGGTAGTGAAAATCAATCCCAAAGTCCAAATCTACTAGAGTTTCGGAGAGATATTTGTAAACTTAGATGGAAGACTTTATGGCATGATGGTGGAAGAAGTAGAAGACTATTATACAGGCCAATTCTAGTTCAACCATTGTGGTAGAGAGTTATTTCAACCAACTTTATAGGAAGGGGAAGAATAATAGACCTTTAAGAATTTCTACCAAAATCAACAAAAAAGTGACTAAAAGGTATGGACTCTATACAAACTTTTAGGCTATGAGCTAAAATTTAAATGTAAGTGTTGTTCTAATGTTTTATACATTTTTATTTACTTAAGATTAAAAATGGTTGAAGTTTTTTTAATTGCTTTTTGATATAGCCTGGGTTGTCAAATCAAAGCCAATATCAATTGGTGATCAATCAAATAAGATCAAGAGAAAGGTCGTTAATGATGTGGTTCATACTAAAGAGAGTCAACTTAAAGTTTCAAAAGAAAAAAAAACCATGAGAAAACAAAAGATGTGGAGGATATGATAGTTTATTTTAGTTTATGAGTTATATTTCTTATTTTCCATTAATATTAAGATGATTTAGTTATTTGTGTATGAATGGTTTTAAATAAAATATGGAACATATTATGAATCATGTGACAATGTTATAATACTATAGGATTTTAAAAGAGCATTTTGGTTGTAGAATTTTTTTTATGCTCTTTAAATAATGTTTTAAGACCATAATATCAATGAAATGAAGTAACTTAAATTATTGTGAAAATGCTCTGGACATGCAGGTGGGTTGCTGGAAGTGGCTTTTTTTTATATTATGCCTTTTGCTTCACTTTTTTAAAATAAAATTCATGTTTTCATATTGTAAGAAAATATTTTTTTTCATTCATTAAACCATCAATTGTGCATTTAACAACTTAAATCACGATTCATATCTCTAATCATGATTTATATCTCTAAACCAAACATACAAATCATTCCTTCCTTTTTTTGTGCCATTGAAAATAAACAAACAAAATATAAAAGTAACAAATGTTGACAGAACCAATTTTCATCTCTTTTTATCATCTTTATCTTTTAATTTCAACTTGAACATACTCAGTTCTTTTTCAGATGAAAATTTTTTTTAATAACTTTAGCTTTAACACAATCCATATAATTTTCCTTCAATTTGACATTTCATTCTTCAATTTTTTGACTTTGTCATACAACAATCTTTCTCTCTTTTTTAGCTCATTAATGAAATCCCTTGCTTTATCACAAAATCTTGATCATGCCATAAATGAAAACCACAAACAATTTTTAGTAATCAAAATGAAAAATTTTCATCAACACATTTAGCCCATACAATAATATATTGTTTTTTCATACAAATATAAAAGATTATTATTAGGAATTATCGGCATCCCTGAAAATCTTCTCCTAGGGTTTGAAGTTGACCATGAAATTCACTTAGATGGTTTCAAATTACAATGACAAAAGATAGTTTCTCCTTCATAATAAAATTCAATAGGATAACTAGTTGTAATGAGATTATAAGATCTCAAATCCAAACACCCATCGCTTGAGCCACCCCTTGATGAACTAAAAGCATAAGAAATAAAAACATAAAAAACATTAGTCACCAGAAAAAGAAAGAAATCATTAACCCTAAACAAAATAATTGAAAAACTCTACAAAAGTATACTAATCTTGAAGAGAGAATGCTTGAAAAACTCATTTTCAAAATGATTTGGTTTTGGGTATTTTATTTTTAGAACGATTTGCTTGAAAAACAACTTTGTTTTTATTTTCCTCTATAATTTAAGAACCAATTTCATTTTTTATTAAAAGATGAAATTAATTTGATTTAACAACTAAATTAAACGAAAAGTAAACTTAATAGAGCATGTAACACATTACCACCACTAAGTTTTTTTGAATAAAATCGAACACGTTTGATTCTACATTAAGCTAAATTCAAGATGACATCTTTAATTGAAAAAACTCGTAAAAGTTAGATCCTAAATTGAATATTTGACCTAATAAATAAGAGGTTTTTTTTTTTTTATTCTATAACAAATAAAAATTGATGAGTGTATTACACATGTATTTAAATAAGGTGAAATAATATTTTATTTGTATGATGTAATATTGACTAATATAATATTTAAGATTTTTGGGCACATAGCATAAACTAAAATGACATAACATTTTAAAAAACTTTAAAATTTGAATAAGGTGACATGGAATTTTTTGCCATGTCTGTTTGTCTTTTTTTTTTTCTCATTTCTTTTTACAAAATTAAAAAAAAACTTAAAAAAAAATGCTGCCATGTTTATTAGATCTAGTGGCTGTCGATCCAATCAATTTAGGTTTAAATTATTTTTTGTTTCGATTAATTAAGTATGAATTATTGATCTTTTTTATTAAATTAGATTTGATTAAGTTCAAATTTAGGTGGATTTTTATGAACTTTTATGGTTAAGATACTTTGACCACTATACAAATAATAATATTTTACTTGACTTACTATATGAAAGCATCATAGTTAGAGATGTTAACTTTACCCATACCCAATTGGAAACCCAATATTTTATGCAAATGGAGATGTAAATGGGTATTATATTATGAGGATGAGGATGAATATGATTTGAAATTTTTATTAGTGTATGGGTATGAGGATGAAGATAGGTAATATAACGCATATCCTATATCCGTACCTTATATATATTTATATATATTTAGTATATAAATTTTTTATTAAATAATATAAATTATTTTTTATATTAATTAAAAATAATATATTTTTATTGAAAAAATATATTAATATATATTTATAAAAAAAAACTTAAATATACAAGATAAAAATAAAAAAAGTTAAAAAAATTTAGTTTTTAGTTTTTTTTAAAGCTATGGGTATGGAGATTACACATACCTATTAAATACTTACGGCGATAGGGATATAGATAAATTTAAAATACTCATTGAATATGGGTATAAGAATTGACATAATATAAAAATTCAGGGATAAAGAATATCTTACCCCTACCCATACCTATCCATTGACATTGCTAATCATAGTTGACATCCTACATGATAATATAATTAACCATATGTCATTTTTAATTAATTTAATTGCACATGTATTACACTCTTATAATTATAAGTTTTATTCTCCTCTTAGAAAAAAATATACAACATAAGAACCAAGAAAGCAGCACCTAATATACACCTGGCAAGCCATGAATTTCTATTTTATTAAATCTTAAAAAAATAAAACCATTTCTTAACCCTTAATATCTCTCTCTTTTTGTTACATGTTCTTTTTTTAGCAGTGCATATATTTTCACTTTTTAGTCTTTTTGTCTAAAACTTGTTCAAAATTTGAGGCAAATATATTTTTTATCGTGGTCATACTCTTTGACCAAAATATTAAAAAGTCAAAAGAACCGACCTAAACGGTGGATTTGCATGGCCATCTAATTACTTACAAGGGGTAGTTTTGTCATTACGAAAGCATAAGAGCCTTGTTTGGTTGTACCATAAAAAAACTAGGGCAGGCACCCAAATCCTTCCCCCTTATGTAAACGAGAAAGAAAACGGCCGAACCAACAAGAGGAGAGAGGAGAGGGCTTTCGACAAAGAGAAAGAAAAGAAATAAAAGGAAAAGTGTTTTGGTTATCTCCTTTACTAACAAAAACAAGAGATAAAAATTTTTCGTTTCTTTTATTTTTTGCCTTTCAAAATAAAAACCCCCCCCTCTCTCGTTTTTAAATTATTAAAAAAAAGAAAAAGAAAAATTAACCGTTGTGCAAAAAATTGATTCCCGCCATGGGGGCTCAGCTAGAGCACCAACAGCAGCAGGAGGAACCTTGTTTAGACAATTTGCAGAAGGCAAAGTCTTTGATCTGTGCCCTTAACTTTGTCTCCAGAAACCTCCCTCTCCCTCCTGACTTATTCGACGTCGTTTCCTCTATTTGTTTTGATGAACAAGAGGGGCTTCCAGAGGCCCTTCATGATGGGACCCATGTTCAGGCTGGATCTGATCCCGCTGGAGCTTCCCGGACGAGTTCGGTGAGTCTTTTTGGAAATCCCCATTTGATTTTTAGCTTTTTATTCTTTGGCAATTGTTGCGAATTTGAGGGTTTTTTTAGTTTGTTTTGTGTGGAATTATCTGAAAATTTGTTTTTTTTTTGTGTGTGTAAATTTGTGTTTTTTATGCTTTTTTTTAGATACCCTTTTGTTCATTTTGTTTGGTTTCCGAGAACTTATTTGAATTTAAAATTTTTCCAAGAAATTTGTGCTTTTTTCTTTGAATTTTGGTTTTTTTTTTTTTCCCATAGTTACTCTCTTATTAGTTTGATATGGTGTGAGGAATTGCTCTGAATTTGGGGCACATTCTTTTAATTTTAAGATGGTGAATTCTTGTTTCGTGTTTTTATTTTTGTTTTTTGTTTCTCATTATTTTTATGTTTTTGAAGGAGAAATAATAAGTTTAGATTTTGGATTGAATTCTGTTATTATAACTTCTGGGTTTTGGTCCGGTATAGGGAGTAATAATACCCTCTTCTTGTTTTTCTATTTTGTTGTTGAAAAATTTGAAGTTTTGGAGGACAGGAGTTTGGGAATTCTGTTTCAGTATTTTTGGCTCTTTTGTTTTGCTTGATCTTCATATTACCCCCCCCCCCCCTTTTTTTTTTTGCTCAAATGGACTGAATTTGAATTTTATAGATAATTTTTAAAGGGGGTTTAGACTTGCAAAATTAATGTGTCAAAAGTTGGGCTGTCATTGCAGTGTGCATTTGGACTTACAATTATTGCAGTACTTGAAATTGTAGCAACAGCATATAATAATTTCACTTCTAGTTCATGAGATGTTAATTTATAGTTTATGTGGCAGGATGATCCTTCTAATTCTAAGAAGGATGATTTATTGCTTGAACTTGATGATGCCCTATCACAACAACGCTCAAAATGCATGTCTGGCTTTGGCTTAGCAGAATCAAAGGAAAATAGTTACCAGAGCCACATTCGTCATCGGTTGAATGAGCTTGAAGGTTATTGTTTTCTACAAAGGATCTTTACCAAATTTTTCATAATTATTTTTGCACATAGTCACCATAGGTAAAAATTTAAGTGATTGAAAATCTTCTGTGTTTGCATGGGGTTGCATGTAACTTTCTGTTACTATTTGTGACATCTGTGAGTTTTAAGAGTAGCAACATTCAATTCCAAGTTGTAGTTTAGACGACCATTTTCAAAGGATTATTTATGTGTTTATGTCTTGAATCAGATTTGCCTTCGAGCAGAGGGGAGGACCTGCAGACAAAGTGCTTACTTGAACTCTATGGACTAAAGGTAAAGTAGTGTGCCAAAGTTGCTGATACACACATTCACCCATATTTCTCAAGTGCTACTTGAACTCCATATTAATACAGAAAATGCAATCATCAGTTCTACTGGTTGATCAGCTGTTGATCTGCCATGAAGTTATTTCTGCCCCCATAGACAGTTTGGATATGGAACAGTTTATTTTCATAAACTTGCTATCTGTTGTTACTATTCTGTTAAGGACTTTCAAAATTCTGTGAAGTATGAGCAACTGCAGCCTATATAACGTGTGAGATATCATAGCACTATAATTCTTGTTGCCATTTTATCCCTTTATCTAATTAAAGCATGCAGCCGAAGAAGTTCTTAGATTGATGATGATGAATAATTTTTATATCTCCTGCTTTTATATTGCTATTGGCGGATGATGTGAGTTATGTCCTTGTGGCCAATGAACTTTTTCCTGGCAGCTAGGAGAGTTACAAAGCAAGATACGTTCTTATATAAGTTCTGAGTATTGGCTTCATGTCAACTGTTCATTTCCTGACAAGCAATTGTTTGACTGGGGCATGACACGATTACCTTTTCCTTCATATGGCATTTTCGTTCCATTCACTACAGAAGCTGATGATCAAGCAAGAAAGAAACGGGATAATGAGGTCATTTGCTTTTTCTTTTAGTCATTTTAATTTAGTCTTGCTCAAGAAAGTGGGTGTTGAAATCTTGGTCTATTGATTTTGAATTGATAACTGAAGTTCAACCTAATGGAATGATGTTATGCTATGAAATTTATGTTTTCCATTTAGTATTTACCTATCAAATCCTCTTCCTTAGAGATCTCATGCTCACCGGATGTTACTAAAACTCTACTTTAGCTGTCAAAAGCTCTTCCTTTATTTGGGTTTGAGACAGACTATGTAAAAGATATAGCAATTAACATGTTCAGAGATTTTATAGAGGATATATGAGAAAGGATAAAATTGCTAAATGTGTTCACTGGGTTGATTTGTGGTATGCTAGAATCATGGAAAGCCCTTCAACGAGTAATTCGAACCATTTTATTCAAAGAAGCAGAGATGATGGGTAAATCTTTTTGAATACAACATCACCATATGCTCTATCTAAAAGGAAAAGAAAACACATAATGTGTCAAAAGGAGATTGAAATTTCTAATAGACTGTTGAAATGATTTTTTTTTAATTTAATTTAATTTAATTTTTTGTGCAGAGGCTATCACGATTGAGAGAGGAGGAAAGGAACCATTTGGAGAATAGAAAGAAGAAATTTTTTTCAGAAATAGTTAACGCATTCCGTGACTTCCAATTACAAATTCAAGCTACTCTAAAGCGTCGAAAACAAAGGAATGATGGTGTTCAGGTACAATTCTTTCTCTCTGTGTTATACTTTTTTAGTGTTTTATTATTCATCTTGTAGGGATAGAGGGATGCTAAATCATGCTGTACTTATTGAATGGGAAGTGTATATGGAAAATTTTGTGGTTGTCTTGAGCCAAATGTTGATCAAACTAATGGGAGCCATTTACATGGTGCATTGAGAAATGAAATATAGATGCTAGATAGGTAATAGATAAAACAACAGTTCAAGACATGGAGTGCCTTCTAGCTTTTTGATATCTATCTAAATCATGCATTAAACTCTTTATATGAACACTCACTTGCATTCTAATTAATTCATACTGTAATTGGTATAATTATGATATTGCAAGTACTGCAACAAAATTTTCATTATTTTCCTGTAACTATTAGATTGCATTATCATAGCTTATTATATGCAGAGTCTCCCTAACTCTCCATCTCTCTTTTCTCTATGTTTTACTCTTTGTCTTCAATCTAACATCATTTTCAGGTAAAAACAAATGAAAATCTAAGCATTTCCTCCATTAGTCTGGGGAATTCCAGTATTTGTACCTTCAATCAAGCATTTTTGAGTGTGTAGATGTTTCCTGACTATTGAAACATCCTCAGTTAATATTATGCTGTTGTTTATTCATATGTCATAAAAACATATTTCCACTCTGATCCAAATAGGAAAAAATTTTGGTACTTCTGCAATTTGAATATGTATATGTACTGTGCTTTTAGTTGAAACCACACTATGGTTATAGTGTTTAGATATTGAGTATATTTTGGCAGAAGTGCAAGTACTCATTTGATACTAAAGGAAAACATCGAAAAACAAGTTACCCGGTTAATCATCTTTTGTAATTCTAAACAATGATCTATGGTTCTTTTATTGGATTTAGCATCAATTACAAATAGCTATAGTTATCATAACATGTGGTATAAGTTGTAAGAGCCTATATTTGGTATTTTAACAGGCTTGGCATGGAAGGCAAAGACAACGTGCTACAAGAGCAGAGAAATTGAGGTTCCAGGCCCTCAAGGCTGATGATCAAGAAGCATATATGAGAATGGTAAAGGAGAGCAAGAATGAACGATTAACTATGCTTCTTTCTGAAACAAATAAGCTCCTTGTTAATTTAGGAGCTGCTGTTCAACGGCAGAAAGATGCTAAACATTCAGATGGTATTGAAGATTTGAAAGATTTAGATTCTGATTCACCTGAGTTGGATGCTTCAAAGGATGGAACTCCTCGAGATTCACCTCCTGAAGAAGATATAGATGCGACTGATTCAGATCAGAATGATGAATCTGGTGATCTACTTGAAGGTCAGCGGCAGTACAACTCTGCTATTCACTCGATTCAAGAGAAGGTAAGACTATAAACCCTATCTGTATCCTTGTTACTACTCTATTTTCATTTTAATTTTTCATCCTAGACCATTGAGATTTTTTGGGCCAGAGGACGATTAAGATTTGATTATTACAGAATTCAATTGCACTGTGAAAAGTTGGAACAATATGTATGTCTACTTGCTTCACATTAATGATGATAAAAGCCGCTTAAATGTTTTAGTTTGCTTTCTTTTACCTATAGGAAGGATTTCCTCGGTGTATTTTCAATATGTTCATGCATTTTTGCAATCTCTTAGTCATGGATTCCATCTTATTGAACATATGTAGATTATTCTTGTGTTTTTTATGGTCATTATATTTGTGGCTAATTTGTTGCATGGGAGTACACTATAATCAATAAAATAATATACAGGTCCAGGTGGATGCTTGTGAATTATTGGTCCTCTATCAATGGTCAATGTTACTTCTTGGTTCATCCACCTAATTGCTTTCATATGATCTCTTCTTAAGCATAGTCTATTTGCACTGTTAACCATCCATGTTTGCAATATTTTTTTATGTTTTAATCTCTGTTTAACTTTTGGTTTTACTTCCTGGTTTATCCACCTAATTGCTTTCATATGATCTCTTCTTAAGCATATTCTATTTGCATTGTAAACCATTCATGTTTGCAATATTTTTGATGTTTTAATCTCTGTTTAACTTTTGGGAAGAAGCTACTAAATTTATGTTCTGTAAACAGGTAACGGAGCAACCATCCATGCTTCAAGGTGGAGAGTTAAGATCATACCAGTTAGAAGGGCTTCAATGGATGCTTTCTTTGTTTAACAACAACCTTAATGGAATTTTAGCTGATGAGATGGGGTTGGGAAAAACAATACAGACTATTTCCTTAATTGCATATCTCATGGAATACAAAGGGGTGACTGGGCCCCACTTGATAGTGGCTCCAAAAGCTGTACTACCAAATTGGATCCATGAATTCTCTACCTGGGCTCCTAGGTACATAAGTAGTCCTTGAAAACATCTCTTTCTCTCTCTCTCTCTCTCTCATGCATGCGTACATCCACACATGCACACATTTATTCACATGGATGCATTTACTTTTGTGCATTTAATCTATAATTTGAAATTTCTTATGCATTTTCTTCTTATTCAGCATTTATGCAGTCCTGTATGATGGTCGTTTGGATGAGAGGAAGGCGATGAGGGAAGAAATATCAAGAGATGGAAAATTTAATGTGTTGATCACACATTATGATCTTATTATGAGAGATAAAGCATTCTTGAAGAAGATACACTGGTACTACATGATTGTCGATGAAGGGCATCGGTTAAAGAATCATGAGTGTGCTCTTGCACGGACCCTCATCTCAGGGTATGATAATAAACTTTATGTTTGTTCCTTATGCCAGATTATCATGTTTTATTGGAAGGTTATGCACCCACTTTTTCATACCATTGCCTTTTTGTATGGGTGTTCTTGATCCTGAAGGCCTCTCTTCTACATTTTTCTTTGCATCAAGGTTCAGGTTTAGTTTAGTTCATCTACTAAAACAATTGACTAGGAAGTGACTTTACTAGCTATCAGGGTTTTAAATAGCATGTGACTTGTAGTGACTAGTGTGCTTTATGTAGAAACATGACAGAAGAGAGAAAATTAAGGATTCAGACAGGGAATTTCTTATGTCTTTCATAATGATTGTTGTATGGTGTTCCTACTTTTTCATCTTTTTTTCTCTTTTTAATCTACAACACCAACCAACCCTTTTCCCCCTTTGAAGGTCACCCATTACACCACTGATTTCAATATATATTTTGAATATCTCTTATTTTTCTATGGCCCAACAGAGGTGGGGAAGGGGTGATGAGAGTTGAAGGGGGCTGGAGGCACAATCTATTATTTAATGCAGTGTGTTGCCTGGAAAATCTATTCAATTTCAGATATAAATTAACTGAAACTACTACTTTGGCTTGAATGTTAATATATGATTCTTCAGAATTCTAGATTAGAAGGCATGCTCTTCTATTTTTCTACCTTTCTCACCGCCCTTTTCATCCTTCCTTTTGAAGGTCAGTGGAATACTTTCCATCTTTATAGTTTGTTTTGAAAACAAACAGTTTATGGTTGCATTAAAATAAATTGCAAATATGAATACTGTCTGGAATTTGACCCTTGTGCAACATAATTTAAGTCTAAAGTATTTCACTGCATTTGGTGTTTTATGAAAGATATGTTATTTCTCATATAACTATCATTATGAGTTTTTTTTTTTTTTCTGCCATTTCTGGAGAAGTGAGGATGTCATGTTATATTTTAGATTAGGTCAGCACAAAAAAATTGGAAAAGCTGTTCTAATTGAATTTTCACCTGTGTGCAGCTATCAGATCCAGCGTAGACTTCTCTTAACTGGGACTCCAATACAAAATAGTTTACAAGAATTGTGGTCCCTCCTTAACTTTCTACTCCCAAACATTTTCAATTCAGTTCAGAATTTTGGGGAGTGGTTTAATGCCCCCTTTGCGGATCGCGGCGATGTTTCTCTTACAGATGAAGAACAACTCTTGATTATTCGTCGTCTCCATCATGTAGGTCTTCATATAGTTTCAAACTGTCTTACCATCCTTGGATTTCTTAATCTTTGATAAAATTCCTTATTTTTCAGGTTATAAGGCCATTCATCTTAAGGAGAAAAAAAGATGAGGTGGAGAAATACCTTCCTGGAAAATCCCAGGTTATACTCAAATGTGATCTGTCAGCATGGCAGAAAGCATACTATCAGCAAGTAACAGAAAAAGGCAGGGTCGGGCTAGACAATGGTTTGTAGTTTCTACTTTCATGTGATCAGTTGGCTACTTTTGATGGTGTCTCACTTAATCTTTTTGTCAAAAAACCATACATGCCATCTTTTAATCATATTGTTTTGGCTGGTATTTTCGTGGTGCAGTTGTGCTTTTGGTACCAAGTATAGCTTCTCTTTTAATATCTTTAAGGGGATTGAAATTGTTTTAGCAATGCTAGGCAACTAGTTTCTAGTTATTAACTCTTTCCTCTAAAATGAGGAGGGGTAGGTTTTGTACTTTGAGAGATGCCGAATAACAACCACAACCTTGTCAAAGGGAGCTGAGTTGTAGTCATATGCTTCTTATGGCTTATTCTGTGAACAAAGTTTGCCAGTTGTTTACTAAGAAGTTTAAAATTTTTGCAGGGTCTGGGAAATCAAAGAGCCTCCAAAACTTGACAATGCAATTGAGGAAGTGTTGTAACCATCCATACCTCTTTGTGCCTAACTACAATATGTGGCAAAGAGATGAGATTATCAGAGCATCAGGGAAATTTGAGCTCCTTGATCGGTTACTCCCAAAGCTTCAGAGAACTGGCCATCGAGTCCTGCTTTTCTCCCAAATGACTCATCTGATGGACATTCTTGAAATATATCTGAGACTCAATAATTTCATGTATCTTAGACTTGATGGCTCAACAAAAACCGAGGAAAGAGGTGCTTTGCTGAAGAAGTTCAATGCTCCAGACTCTCCTTATTTTATGTTTCTTTTAAGCACTCGTGCTGGAGGTCTTGGGCTGAACTTGCAGACAGCAGACACTGTAATAATTTTTGATAGTGACTGGAACCCCCAAATGGACCAACAGGCAGAGGATCGAGCCCATCGTATAGGCCAGAAGAAGGAAGTTAGGGTTTTTGTGCTGGTTAGTGTTGGATCAATTGAAGAGGTCATTTTAGAGCGTGCAAAGCAGAAGATGGGTATTGACGCCAAGGTCATCCAGGCTGGACTGTTTAATACAACTTCCACAGGTTTGTTGTGCTTGAATTAATTATTATCTGTGTAATGCATGCAACATAAAAATCAGCATGGATGAAATAGAATTAGGAATATTTCCACAGTTCTGTCATGTTATATTTGATAATCAGCAGTTGCAGGATGCACAAGGTATTGGTGGATATACATACATACATACATACATACGTACGTACGTACGTACGTACATACATACGTACATATGAGAGTGTGTGTGCATGGTATGTATGGTTTTGCAGGATGCAGTTAGTTACTCAAAGATTAATTAATAGGACAGTAAAATGAGGAGAAAGTTGATGCAAATCCTACCGTACACTTTTCTTTTTCTTTTAAGAAAGGGAAAATTTAAATGACTTTTGACACAATTTAATTAGATTTCATCACGTCATACATTTTGTTACCATCGGATCTTCTTTGAATACCACTAAAAATTGCTGTCTTTCCCCCCTCAATCATGTCCTAACTTTTCTGATTTAGCAGCATATAGTTCCTTACATTTTCCTTTTCCAGAAATTGAAAAGTGTGTTAGATATGTGTGCATTTTTGCCATATTATTGATAAGAGAACAGTAAGTGCTACTCTGTGCACCAGCTCGGATTTGTTTTAGAACAATTTTTTTTTATTCTTTTATATGGTAAAGATGTCTTTTGTTTTCATGTGATACACTGGATGCTTAAAGGTCCATTTGAACTGGCTGGAGCTTGTTTGTGTCCAAGCAATTGTTATTTTTATCTATCACATGGAAACAACTCTTCTCTTCTAGTGCATGTTTTGGTTGCATTCATGTTTGAGTAAATTCAATGCCATGCTCATGTGATCATCTTCACTTATGCAGCCCAGGACAGAAAAGAAATGCTGGAAGAAATCATGCGTAGAGGAACAAGCTCACTTGGAACAGACGTTCCAAGTGAAAGAGAAATCAATAGACTTGCAGCTCGTTCGGATGAGGAGTTCCGTCTGTTTGAGCAAATGGATGAGGAAAGAAGACTAAAGGAGAACTATAGGTCTCGTCTCATGGAAGATCGCGAGGTACCTGAGTGGGTATATGAACTTAATAATGATGAAAGGAAAGCCAAAGGTTTAGAAAATAGCAATAATGTCGAATTAGGGAAGCGAAAAAGAAAGGGAGGGAACTATTATCCTGATACAATGAGTGACTTACAGTTTATGAGGGCTGTGGAAAACGCAGAAGACGTGATGAAATTATCAAGTAAAAAGAAGAGAAAAGACCATCTGCCTCCTGAGGGTAATGAATCAGCTGGTAATAATGTAGGAGTAGAGAAAAAGGTAGTCGAATTTAGGAATGAGAATATGCCAGCTTTAAGCGAGGGAACAAGTGAAGATACCTACGGTTCAGGTCCAAAGAGACCCAAGTCCAATGGGGAAATGGCAGAGAATCCCAGATATCATGCTGTTGGAGGAAGCTCGTGGAATGACGGAATAATTACATGGTATACTCACAAGAAGAAGAGGTCAAGCTATGTTGTCCCAACTTCATCATCGGATTCTAGAGGGCAGAATTCCAGCGGAAGAGGAAATGGATGGGTTTGATATAAATTTCCTGAGCTCAGTATGATTTATCCCATGAAATTACTCTGCTACTATTATGTATCTACTGTACAAGTTTATGAGAAGTTTTAATTTTGCCCTCACTAAATTCAGTTAAAAAAAATATTATCATCGTCCCAAATTGTCAATTTTTATGGAGTTTAAATTAAATAAATTTTAATATATTTAATATATATTTTTTATAAAATTAAAGTTTTATAATTTTTAATGTCAAAAAATTAAAAAATGATTTTAAAATATAAAAAAAAATAACAGTTTAAAGTATTAACAAATAATAATAAAAAAAAGAACACAATTTTGAGATATTTCAAAAATAAAAGAGAAAAAAAGGACGGGGCACATAACTAGCATGCTTTTTATAAAAATTTTACTTCACCAACTAAGTCTAATATGGTATTTTCCTTTTATGGTAAAAACAAATTTTCTTGAATGGTAATGCCTTCTTTACCCAATTAATAATAAATTTCATTTAAATCAAAAGCAAGAAAGCGAGAATAAAAACCAGCAGCTTTGAATTGAACAGATCTCATCTCAAGCATCATTAGCAATGCTCGAGGAAAATATATAAACAAGAAAGATTGGCCAACAGCTATCAAAATAAAAGACTCCACGTTTAGAAGTTCCAATTCCAAACATGCCCTAACGAAATAAATAGATAAGAACAATGCCACAGAAGGTAATCTGCTGCTATTTGCTAGTAGTAGCCACCGCCCTGCTTGGTAAAATTCAGCTGAGCAATGAATTCTGCAAATTATTAATGTTCTGAAGATTTCTAAAGCAGCAGAGGCTAAGGAATTTTATAAAATGAAGAGTAAGAGAGAAATTTATTCTTCTAGGCTAACTTCAAGATTCTTCATTTTAGATTCCAATTCATCCTCATTAGCTTCACCCTCTCCAGATTCTTCATCATCATCAACTCCTTCAGGATCATTCTCATCCAAGGAACCAAGCATGTCAGGAGACTTCTTGAATATTTCCTTCACCTCATCGATACCATCATCAGAGATGATATTTCCATTGATGTTTAACAACGTAAAACCAGGTTTCCAAAAAACTACCTGAGCCAAATTTCGAGCACCAGCCCTTCTTATGAAATTGGTGCTCATATCAACTTCTCTTAAAAGGGTATGGCCTTCTTCCAAAGCCTTACTTATTTGGATAGTACCTTCATCCTTGAGTTCATTCTCAGCCAAGTTCAACTTCGTAAGATGCTGCTTTGCTGCTATACAAGCAGCTATACTAGGAGCAGCATCAGCTGTTATGTCATTTCCAGCCATTTCCAGAACTTCAAGAGAAGGGGCCGATTCCTTTAGAGCATTGACTACCGCAATTGCACCCTCATCTTCCAAGTTGAGATAACTCAAGTAAACCTCAACTAGATTCAAATGCTTTGAAAGTGCTTTGCTCAGGGCAACTCCGGCTTCTACACCAAACATGTTGTCTCGCAGGTCAAGCTTCTTTATACGGGTACAAGACTTGAGTGCTTCTGATAAGGCAACTCCTCCTTTTGAACCAACCCTTGTAGAGGAGCATCGAAAATCCTCCAATAAAGGAGAGCGCTTCACAACATCAGAAATTGCAAATGCACCCTCATTTCCTGTCATATTATTATGAAAGTGAAGGACCTTCAAGTTCTTTGTAGAGGGAATCAATTCACAGACAGCTCTGGCAGCTTCCTCTGAAATACCATCATTCATTAAATAGAGCTCCTCTAGGCAATTCTGTGATTTAAAAAGAGAACCAAAAGCCCTAACACCCTTCTCACCTAAGGCATTGTTTGAGAGGTTAAGAGACTTCAAAACACTACCCTCCAAAGCAGCTGAGAATATATTCATAATTTCAAGGGCTTCTGCCTCTGGTCTTCCGGCAATAAAGTCGGACAAATCAGCTTCTTTCAACTGATTCTTGAGGGAAACCAAAATTGGCTCAGCAACATGAGCTGCTCCCAAACCAAAGCTTCTATTACTAAAACAAATCTTGGTGTAACAATTCCCAGGTTCCTTTAATGGCCTTAGAAGATTCTCAGCCTCCTCTGCCTCAATAAAAGCCCGTTGGCCTTTAGATATATCAAAGAAAGTTTCGGATGAAGCATCTTTCTCAAATGTCAACTCCTCCTTCTCCTTTCCTGCAGGGCCTCTTTTAAGAACTTCCAGCAAAAGTTTACTACATTCCTTGGCATAAAGCTGCACTGCAGCACCTCCATCACCATCAGGCTCCCTATCATACTGTTCATTCGCTGTGTTAAAAGCTACATCCTCAATTTTCTTAGCATTCTCCTCAGCTTCTTCTTTGTTAAGAGAACCATACTTCTGGGTAAAGACAGAATTGCTGGTGAGATTGTTTCTCAGTCGTTGAACGAGTGCCAGCCGAGTGCTTTCGCTAGGAGGCCATAGTTTAATGGAAAATGGCCTACGTTGCGAATTTGTAGTGGAATCCATTACAAAACCTAAGGAATTGGGCTGCAAAAACTTAATAGCCTCAGTAAATATTGAAATAAAGATATGAGAAAACATTAATGCGAAGAAATTAAAAACAAGAAAACATGAGTGGATTCTAAGTTTCACATAGTTCGATTAATTCCCAAAAAGAAAACTGCCACATTGATCAGAAACTTCCTCAAAAACTGGAAATGCTATGTCCAATAAGGATATAAGACCTCATTTGCAATCAGCAAAAGAAACCCATTGTCAATTTCTTCGTTACAAACAACAAAGAAAAAAAAAAAAGGCTAAATAGAATCAGAAAATACATAATCCCATCAATTTGTAGTTCAATGCTAGATGTTCATCATTTACAAAAAAAAAAAATAATAATAATAATTTCCTCTTTTTTTAATACTTAAAAGCTGCCAAAGATTTTAACCCTAGTACCGGAACTAAAAATTCAGCACTCTACCAATAGGCCAGCGGCTGTTTGGCAAACCTATTTCGTCTCCAGGGGAGTTTTGAGTTTAAAATAAATCTTTGCCATAAATTCATTAATATTACATATATAAAATATTAAAAGAAAAAACCATATGCTATTTCTCTTCCAACTATTTACTTTAAAAAGAAAAGCAAAGAAAATCTTTAAAAAAAAAAAAAAGAGAGGTTTACAAGAATAAATAAATAAATAAATAATACAATAAATAGAAAATACTAATTATAAAGAAAACATAAGATCTAAGGTAATAAAGAAAATTTTTACTTTTAATATTAAACATATAAATATGATTAAAAGAAGAAAGATTTTTAGCATGAAAATCTGCATAACAGCTTAAATATTCCCTTTAATGTAGCAGATCTTAAGGGAAAAAAAATAGAACATAAAAAAAAAAAAAAGGAAAACATATAGAAGAGAGATTAGATTGGTATTGAAAGCCGCCAAAGGATTTTTGAAGACAGAAAAAGTTAGAAGAGGGAAGTTAACAGTATCGGAACCCGAGAAATATCAAAAGTAAGAAATAATGCAAAAGAAATAATTTTGAAAACACAAAATTAAAATAAAAGAGAAAGAAAGAAAGAGTTACCTGCTTTAATTATTGAACCGAAGAATAGAATGAGAGTGTGAGCGTGAAGGGAAATGGGAAACGATGAAATGAAAGCCCAAGCGAAAGTGAGAAAGCGTTACAACTTTTTAGGGTTTTTTTTTTTTTTAATATTTTTTTTATTAATTTGGCCATTATTACTTAAAAAACTTTTTTCCCTTTTTTTATTACTTTGTATGCTTCTGTTTGTACCACTCTTTTTCTTTGTATTTTTTATTTTTTTTTCAAAATTATCTCTCAATAAAATTATTTTGTTATTCATTTTAAAATTTTTTGAGTTTGTGACTTCGAAAATTTTTAAAAATTTTTGTATGTTTAGAAGCTTGTAAAAGTTTTTGACTCTCCTAAAAAATTTCATTTAAGTAATTTAAAAATTTTATTATGAATATCAATCGTCTCTTTTCTCATATCATTGAAATAAAAAAAAAAATTTTACAAACTCACGTATTGTAATCAAATACTGTATAATTTTTATCTATCAATTTATAAATAAAATTATAATTATTTAAAATAAATCATGTTTTTCTTTACATTATTGTGAAAAATTGTCAAGATACAAATTTTTTCTTTCCTCAATTGAATTTTTTGATTTAAGACTTAAAATTTAAGGTTTTCAAATTTAAAATTTATAAGTTTTTTTAAAATTTAAATAACTTATCACATAAAAATTCGATAAATTATATAACTTAACAAAGAAGCATATATATCCGATAAATTATATAATTTATCAAACACACATATCTAAAATCTTTTAAAGTAAAAGAGATAATTAAATAATTTTATTCAAAAATAATTTTAATAAAAAATAAAAGGGATATAGAAAGAAAAAACATGGGTGCATCTAGAAGCAACCTATTACTTTTTGTTCTTAACCATAAAATGGATTAAGAATTCATTGGGAAATAAACATACCTGTGGTGAGGCGTGATTAAAGGGTTTCATCGCGCCATTTCAATGTTTGGATACTCTATGTGCAGCACGATGGGGCATTCTTAACGTGACCTATCTCCAGCTGAATACTAGGCTATCATAAGTCCGGTGAAAAATTGCAAGTTTGAATCCGAGCTTTTTGTGACTTTTAACCTTTTCTTTCTTTTGATTTTTTTAATACTTGTTCATTTTTTTTTCATTTTAGTTTTACTTTAAAATTTTTAAATAATTTATTCTTTTCTTACAAGATTAAATAATTAATTTTTAATTATTTGTTAACAACATTATTATTTGATATAAAATATAATTTAATAATTTTAAATTATTTATTAATTTTATAAATATTAAATAATTTAAAATTTTCTTTATATATAATTTTTAATATAATATATTTAATAGTAATTTTCTCTTCTTATTAACATTTATCTTACCATCATCTTATTTTTGCATCTAAACATATATTTCACTATTAATTTTAATTTTATCGTTATAGTAATTAATCTCATAACTATAATAACAAATCTCATTTTCACTGCTGTTTTTAATCTCACTGCTCATCCAAATAAATTTTAAGTTAATATTAAAGTTCAATTTAGATGGATTGTGAATTTGGCTCTAGTAAGATTGAAAACAGTAGTGATGGTAAGATTAATAACTGTAGTAGTGAAATTGATTACTATAACGATGAGATTAAGATTGATGATGGATTATGTATTTGGATGCAAATGTGACATTCACTGTAAGATAAAATTTAATAAGAAGAAAAAATGATCATTAAATATATTAAATTATGATTTGTATAAAATGAAATTTTAAATTAAGTAATATTTAAGAAATTAATAGATAATTCAAAATTATTAACATTACTTTTATATTAAATAAAAATTGTATTGATAAATAATTAAAAATTAATAAAAATAACAATAAAATATCAAATATATATTTTTTAAATTGATAATAATATTTTTGGACAAATTAGCAATAATTTTAAAAATAATAATTATTTCTTATTTAGAATAAAGTTTAAAAAATAAAAAAATGAAAAAATGTCAAGGATAAAAAAGAAAACAAAAACTAAAACAAAGGCTTTTATGGAAAAGAAAAAAGAGCTATGATTTGGCTTCTAATAAACAGTGATGTTCTAGAAATTTTTTAAAAAAAGTTTTAGAATTTATAAAACTCTTTTTGAATTTTAAAATTTTTTTATAGAATTTTTTAAGAACTTTTTTCCCATTTTTCAAAAATTGAGTTTTCAAAATTAAAAATTTTTTTTTTTAAATTTTTGAAAATTTTAAAGTTTTTTGAATTTTTTAAAATTGTGTATAATTTTTTTTAGAAAATTTCTACTATTTTAGAATTTTAAAACAAATTTAAAATTTTTTATTTTTTATTTTAAAATTTAAAATTTAAAATTTAAAATTTAAAATTTTTCAAAAATTTGCAGAATTTTTTAGAAAATTTAAAAATTTTTTAAAAATCTGTTAGATATTTTAAAATATTTTTTGAAATATTTTAAAAAATTTTTAAAATAATTTTAAAGTTTTTTTAAAAGTTTCTTTTTATCGCATCGTAACATTAATGTTATGATATTGATTAAATTTTTTTTACACATATCAACATTTTATTACACATCATGTTTTGTGATTAACAATGATAAATATCAAAATGATTTAATACACAAAAATATAATTTAAATATCAGATTAAAAATTTTTTTGTTTAAGCACCACATTAAAGAAAATGTAATAATTCGAATGCCAAATGAAAAATTATCCCATTGGAAATTAATATAATACTTTTTTAAAAATTGAAAATAAATATTTTATTACAAACATCTATTTTATTCTAAATAATTAAAATATCACTGACATAATATGCATACATTAATAATTTTATTATTATATTTTAATTAAATAAAATCAAATTAATTGAAAAAAACTCAAATAAAAAATAAACTAAAATAATTAAATTAATTTCTATTTTTATAAAATAACAGTTTCTCACGCATGATGAGGTTTTTGCATGTCAAATTGAGCTTTGATTTATGATGACATTTTTATGACACTACATACTAATTATTGAGGACAAAAGTAAAATAAATTTTATATTCTACTTCTTGATGCTGTTAGTAATCTTAAAAGTCTCGTGAATCACATTTCATGAACCAAACATGAAAATTACCTCAATGAAAGAATCTCAAAATCCTCGAAGCAAAGCCCCCTTAAAGCACTCCCAACTTTTAGCACAAGAAAATCATGCATATTCATGGCACACGTGTGAGAGGAACATGAAGAAATTTGTTACTGCTCAAAAATCACAATAACTTTGAATGAATGTCAGAATACATTTAAATCTAATAACCAACACAATCCATGAACATGAAAAGTGGAGGCCATATTCTCAAACATCTAAAGACGATCGATCAAAGAAGAAACTAAACTACTTTTTCCTACATGCAACATAAACTCTGGCATCATGATATGATTATGAACAAAGAACCAATTACAACTCCACCACATCAACACGATTTGCTACTTTCTGTACAACGTATCTAGTTAGAGATGAGGAGTTAAAAACCAGTCTTCTATAGCCGCAGGTTATGTGGGTTAGGTTTTGTAAGTGCTTTGGCAAAGTAATTGCGGATCTCTGGAATTGTGCGCTGGATTAGTTGCAAGTGCCTGCAATGTTTGGAAATTTTCAGCAAGGTTTTAATCCTGCAACTAATAATATTGATAAAGAAGAAACATAAGCATTTGACAAATGCTACTTTGAAGAGCCCAAAGACATTTTATCATTCCAAAATTATTCCATTTTCCAGGCACTGTTTGCTACTTGGAAGATCCTTATATATACCCTTGTCACCAAACTCAACACTGGCATAAATTATAAGGTTTCCACATGGCCAACAAAAAGCATGAAATTCTTCTAACAGTCTCTAAGATGCAACTCTCCAGCTTCAAAGTCTGAAAACATTCCAGCCAACATCCTAAAAATTCGACATCCCCCAGGCCCCAACACTACTACCCTGACCAAAAGCATTCATCAATGAAATACCACAAAGATCTTCGGAAAATTGCAACCAGATCACTGAGATATCAAGGATTTCAAACAACTTCATAGTTCGATACAAGTAGCACATGGACAACTAAAGAGCATAGACAAAGCAACAAAAATGCAATGCTAAATACTAGATGATGTTTGACATACAGTTAAATTCCTAAAGAGCAGCGATATGGCAAGTTGATTGAAGTACATACCCGGGTCTTGCGCTCAATTTATCGAAATGCTCCAAGATAAACAAAATGCAAGTGTGCCTCAATGATATAGCATGAAAAGCTTCAGAGAGCTCATACATGCTTGAAACATTTTCCAGCGATATATCCTTCAATGAAAACATAGAAATAATCAGATGCCAATTCCTAATTTTAAAGCAGAAAAACGATTCAAAATATCTAAAAGACAACCTTTTCAGCCCACCTGTGCAATAGTATACTCACAGAGTCGCTTAAGTCCCTCTAAAAGATATTGATCAGCTGCTCTGAGCAGATCTTGTGCAATATCCAACATAACATCTACTGATCCCGTGTATATAAATCTGTACAAAGAACGAAATCAAATAAATAAATGATGCTCAAAAAGAACAAAATGAAGTAAACCCCATGTATATACATCTGGATCAAAGATTTTATAACACCTCATCATCAACTCAAAAACCTCCCATCTGATGTTTGGAATTGCAATATCCCTTGCATCTTTTTCCTGCAACACAGGCCAAGAGGAATTTAAAAATGAAAACCATGTAGTATGAAAACATTGTTTCTATCCTGTAATGATTGCTAGAGGTTTAAGTTTAAAGCTAAAAATAAGGCTACCAGATAAAAGTGAAAAAGCTCAAGTTTGAAAATAAGGCTACCAAGAGTGAAGGGAATCCTGAGCCCCCCTTGGGAAAAGGAGGGAGGACCAACTGGAACATTAAAATGATGCAAAAGGAAACTCACCCGATAACCACCATCAAACATAGCACGAAATGCATCTGAAGAAGCAAGCAGGCAGATTCTGTGAGCATAGAACCGTCTACCTGCAAGAGAAAAGAAAGAGAGGATCTTAATTACAACAAAAGCTATTTTTTGACCCATCACCAAATGTTTCTCCATGGCAAGTATCAGAGCTTCAAGTAGGCAGATCACATAGCAACCTTCAACTAGGAAGGTAACATCAGATAATGTAGCATTGTTCACATATTGCTCCCCCAAATAAACCTGCATTAAAATTGTATGTTATAATACTAACTTAATATAGAACTTTCAGAAGTATAAACTATTCTCCTACTTCTGAACCAATTATGAGAATGTAGTCAATCTACTCTTGCAATTTGAAATGACTACATGAACACACATATGCACATATATAAAGACTCTAAAGCAAAAATAAGAATATCTGTATATAATCTCTTATAATCTAGATTATAGGCTTTTCATTTGGTACCTTAATACATTTGGAAATGCATAACAAAAACATGAAAGAAAGTTGACATTTCCTCATTTTCCTTGTTCTTTCCATTAATCTCTCTAAAACTAGAAAAATAATTGCTTTTGTCTTGCCATACTTTCTCTTTCTTTCTTTTTCTTTTTTTTTTTTTTTGGTTTAGAAATTTGCCTAATTTCCAATTTGATTTTAATTCCAAGATCTTCAAATTAAACAAAAAAATTAAATAAGACGTTCTAGCAAAATCGTCAGTTTTCTTTTATTGTCGAATACTTGGTTGGGATGCAACATCCACAAAGGAAAACCAATAACCCTAGCCCAATGTTACACCCAACTTTAGATTATGATATTAAATCAAAACCGATCATAGCTCTGGCCTTTCAATAATCATGGCACATGATATGGCCATACACAACACCATGCTACTTGGAATAACATTACTTTCGGATTTAGGATTTCAGGCAATAGAAATACATGGAACTAGATTACCCAACTTTTACAAACTCACCTGTGGTGTTGGAGAAGGGGGAGCTGCATCCATAGGAGAAAGAGTCATAGCTTTGTTGGCCAACTTGAAAAGAGCTACAGCACCATCAAGTTGCTGTTTAGGGCTTGTAGAACCAAGAAGCCCAAGAAGCAGCTCAAGTCCTGCATGAAAATAAAGCACAATCAGCCTCTCAAAGCAGCAAAAAGAAGTGTGCTCCATTAATGCAATTTGCTAATTTAAATTGCACAGAATTAAGAATATGACAGATTTTGGGATAACTGAAGGGGCAAAGAATATGACCGTTATTATCTATGAATATAGTTCTCTGATCATTGAGGGAACAAAGATGTGCTAGAGCCAAAGCCACTAGTCTTTGAACTGGCTTCTCTGCCACACGCATCAGATACAGCAAATGGTTCAAAACCTGCAAAAGATAATTAAAACCAAAATCTCAGAAATTATACACACAAATTTAATGAGACCTAAACATAAAGAGCATCGAGGAGCTAGGTCTTTCTGTAATCCAAGAAAAAATATGATAAATAAATATATAACAGTAAGTGGTAGTTAAAGGAATGAAAATGCTTACCCGCCCATGAATCTTCTCCTCTAGTCTTTTCAATGTCTTGGATACACAGTCTTTTGTTGCCTGAAGTACCATTACCAATGTTAAATCAGTTAAGGAAAAAAAATCAAAACACAGCAATGAGCTAGCAAAGTTTTGAGTCATGCAGCAATTAAGAAACTAGTAGCGTGAAAACTAAGAGAGAAGAGGTAACATCTCAAAGGACTGACATACTTGGACAATAAACTCTCCATCTTGCAGCCGCTGGACACCACCCACCCTAATAAAATCGGATACATTATCCTATGGGAGAGAAGAATATATTAATATATTAACAGTGTTACATGACCCCAAAAAAATAAATTCAAGCACTTTCCCACATTGACAACTATCACATGCTACCAAACCTCGTTATCTGCAAGACCATAAAGAGCAAATGCAGCATTGTGTTGCAAAGATCCATTCTTCGAATCTAGAAGCTTCAACAAAGGCAGTAAACCACCAATATGCGCAATACCAGCTTGATTGTGTGTGTCCTGAAATCAAAATTATTTTTTAGTGACATAGAGCTATCAACCAGTTCCAGCTTATGAAGACAAGAAACTTAGTTGAGAGTATTAAGTTTCTCAGCTGCAAAGGACAACAATTACTGGAAATTTGATAACTACACATCTAGAAAATGCAACTAGAAAAGACCTCTTTAAATGTAACAGAAACCTCCTAAACAAGAAAAATCAAAGAGAAATACAAATAGATTGAGTCCTTTCCAGTCAATGCTGAGAAGCAAAGTTTTCTTAAGATATCATGCAGAAAATTTGATATGCAAACATACATGTTGAATATTTTGAGAGTAAGGATAATTAAAAGAGTGGAAAAGAAGTGATATGGATTGGCTACATTCCTACAAAGCCATGATAATCGCATGACTTGTAACAATTGCAAAATCAAGAGGACAAGCAGTTAGATTGATGGAACAAATTTTGTGTGGCAGAAATTCATGAACTAAAATTTTAACGTCAAGTTTTTTTTAAAAAAATGTAAATATCTAAAGAAGAGATAAGTAAACTCATTATTATCTCAGAAAAAAGGACAAGCGTCAGCAAGATATGAAGAGAAAACCCATTATGCATCGTTCACAGAATAAATAAAAGCCTGAAATGGTACAACTAAGACAATAACAATAATAACCTGTGCCAACCTCCCCAAAGCAAAGGCTGACATCTCTTTCAGCTGTACATCAGGAGAGTGAAGCATTTCAATCAAGGGTCTGACAGCACCCCTTTGTACGATATGAACCTGCAACCCGAAGCAGCATATCTCAAAAAGAAGAAACAATGAAAAATCAAGGAAAATGATAAGTACAGCATAGAGATCAGTGCTCATCTTAATCACTACAAGGACAAAGGAAATGATATGTAAAGCTAAATTCATTCAAATATTAGGATAGTAATTTCAGAGCCAATGATGGTTTTTTTTCTTCCTGTGTCCCCTAAATAGACAAATAGACCCACAAAGAAGTATCTTAAGCCTAGTGAAGTATAAAGAGAAAAGACAGTCTTCACCTTGCAATCAGAATCAGTTGCGGCAAATTGTCCAAGTAATAAAGCTGCCTCCCTTTGGCTCTCTGAGCAGCAGGAGCTGTTTTCCAATAAAACAAATTAATTAACAAAAAGAACCCTGAATAAATTGCAATTCAAAAGAACAGCTCACAAGTAACAAATAAGAACTCATGCTAAAACAAGTAAAAGAAACATCAAAGCAAATTGAAGCATACGTAAGCAAACCAATGACAGGTTGCAAAGCCCCTGCAGCGAGAACTTCTTTTTTTATGTTTGGTGATGAATGCACCAGATTGCCAATCACACCAACCTACAAGGCATTGGGGAAAAAAATTTGATGCTACAGCTCGTATAAACACTAAAACCCAGTGGAATTTAACAAAAATCATCTTGTGCAACAATAAAATCCTACCGCTTCATAGTGTATAGCAGCATCTTCTGATCTTAGCATTAAGATCAGAGTAGGAAGAGCATTGCATTCAACAATCTGCAAAGCCATAGTATCCCATCCATTATCTAGAATTGAAGGCACTTTTATCCAATCCAACTTCCAAAGGCAGGTCTATTACCTGATTCTTGTTTTCATCATTTTTGAATGCTAGGGTTCGTAATGCCCCAGCAGCTGCTCTTTGCACCTTTGTATCAGTAAATTCAAGCAACTCTACAAGAGGTGGAATCCCACCTTCCATTCTGTCAAACCAATCAAGATAGTTATTACAATAAACATAGTGATAAACAACTAACTTGTGTTAAAAAGTGTATAATTTTAGCAACCTGACACGGGTTTTAATGCTGCTATTCTCATGAGCAAGGTTGGTGATAGCATCAGCTGCTCTTCTAATGACACTGTTCACAGCACGAGTAGAATTATCCTTGTGCCGCCTCAATATATTCACAAGATGCGACAAGGCCCCAGAATCAACTATAAGTTGCTGATGTTCTGGCTGTTATCAGCAAAAATAATACAGAATTTAGCAGATTCAGTGATTAAACATAGTAAATACCAAACATATTTGCATTAATATTGGGAACATAAATCATGCAAAAACAAAGAAAATTAACAAACTGAATACTTAGCCAAGCTTTAGTGGCTTAGCAATGAAATCAACCACCTAATTCTCTATAGTACTTTTGCTTAAAGATAATATGAACGAAAGATATCTCTATCCACCAGAATCTTTCCTTTTTCTATAACCGCCAATATTAGCAGGTTATGGCTCCTCAAACTTCCTGGAAGTTCAACTTCTGATATCTATGGTAGAATTGATATTAAATAATCATCATATGTAACATAATTTAAATGAATAAATAAATTTATATAAAGCTTCAAATATTTCTTAATGCTACTTAAAAGAAATTAAAAAAACAAAAAATCATGCACGGCACAAACATGTGAACTTCCGACAAATAATTTAAAACTAAAATTACAATAAATACTAAAAAATTCAGAAATAAAAGCATGATAGTAAAAAATAAAAATAAAAATACTCAGTAAAATCACCTTTACGGCGAGAAGTCCTAGAGCAAAAGCACTTCCTTTTTCAACCTCGTGCTCGAAAGGCTTCGTGCTTCGATCGCCATCCTCACATGGAGGCGCTTGCAGATGCTTCACTAGAGCCGGAACCGCACCACCTTCAACGATCACATTAACAACTTCCTCTGGCAAAAAAAAAAATTATGACAGTTAATCCTGAAATTCAAAAACAGTAAAAACACAACATAAAGAATGGCAAGAGGTGTAAATAAGAATGAGATCGGAGGTTGGAGACTTTAAAATTTTACCGTTCTTGGCGAGCTCGGCGAGCACGTGAGTCGCACGCTTGGCAGCTGCTCGATCAGATTCGCGCCAAGAGAAGGCGGAGTCGAGGACGTTAACCTGAGCGGTAACTTCGGCCAAAAGAGCGCGGCGGGCGTCGCCGGTAGGAACAGAAATTTCGTGGTCCTCTTTGGTTTCTTCCTCCAGTTTCCGTTTTTGCCCCTTTCGTTCTGAGAGCCCCTGGTCCTCGCGCCTCTGAAGCTCCATCGAGAAGGAACAAAGAAGGGAATAGTGAAAGAGAGCAGATTTAATCGGAAAGGAGAATCGTGATTTGAAAAAGGAGATATTGGATGAGGGGTATTTTGGAGAATTACTAAAAGAAAAAGCTTTTTCTATTTTATATATATAATTAATGTCGGGTTTAAACCGGCCGGCCCCGATTTCTGGCCCGTATTTGACCTTCTAGATTTGATGATTTAAATTTGGAAATGCCTGTTGAGCCCATTTTTTCTTCCTTTGATTCGTGAAATATTGTATTTTAAAGGAAAATGTGATATTTAAAAAAAAAAATTGTTTTTATATTTTGTATTTAGTTAGGGAGAATTTGTATTTATTAAATTATGTATTTTGATTATAACATTCTCGATAATTTTGTAAAAAACTTTTTATTTTGTTTTTAAAAAATAAACCTGACAAATGATATTTTTATTATCAAATGAATGAAAGATTTTATATATTTTTATAAAATTAAAATTGTATCAATTATTGTATTTATATAAAAAAATGCAATCATTGCTATGAAATTAAAAAAAATTATACTCAATTACGACATTAAATTAAAAGAAAAGTCATAATTATTTTCGTTTAAAATTTTAAAATATTCAATTATGATGTTTAATTAAAAGAAACACCATAATTGTCTAGTTTTAAATATTAACATTGCTTAATTAAGGCGTTTAATAAAAAGAAATGCCGTAATTACCTCTTTTTTAAAATTATTCTTCACTCAACTATTGCATTTCATTTAAATAAACAATGTAATTGAGTCTCTTTTAAACTATAAACTTTTTTACTTTCCACTCTATTTATTGTATACCTAAATGGCTAAAACTCGTCAACCAGCAAATGAAATGCTTGAACTACAAAACCCTTACTCACATTATCCAACCGCCATTGTCGCTAGGTCTCCCTCATCATTGCCAAGTCTAAACCGTCACCACCGTTGCCTAACCTAACTCTAGTAAGTGGTTTTTTTTTTTTTTCCTTTTTCTCTTTTTATTCGTGGTTGGATGTGCTATCATATGGAATATATGTTATGTATTTGCTACATTAAATTTTTTTTGGATTATGTGGTTGGATGATTTGGTGCTAGTTTTCTATTGTTTGGATTATGTCGTTAGACGCTTTATTCCCTTCCTTATTTGTAATTTGCGTTCTCAACATGAAGTTTTTTTTTTTTTTTTAAGGTTCCATAAATATATGTTTTACATATAAAATATATTTGTTGATTTGGTTTGTTACTGTGCCTTATGTTTAGCTACTTATTAAAACGTCTATCTTCATCAATATTAGATCTTTGTTCCCTATATTTTGTTGTTTGGATTTCATGGTTGGATGTTTTGTTCCTTATTAGGAACATGTATTCGTAGTATGCGTGAACCTTTTTGTTCCATAGATATATGTTTTACCTGTGAAATATATTTGTTGATTTGGTTTGTTTGTTACATCTAATACAATTATGATCAAAATCGTAGGGCAGTATGGCTTCAGAAGAACATATGTCTCTTTTTATTGAACATAAAGAATAAGTCTCAATTGACATATCCATTTTAAAAAAGAGAAAATCTAGGGGACGTGGTAAATTACTTAAAGCTAGTGGGAAGAAAATTCATGTTGAGTTTAATCAAGATAGGCAACTTGTGTTAAGTGGAGATGCAAAGTTGGCTAGCCACATTGAATGTGTCATCTGACAGACTATATCCATTAACTACCTTAGTTGAAAAAAAGTTCCAAATGATAAGAGGGATAGTGTATAGGATTCAATTATGGTAAGTTTTTTTAATGAAATCTAAACTAATTCATCTTTATCATTCATTATTTATGGAATGCAATTACAATGTTGAGTTAATTTAATTTAATCTTTTTTATAGGAACTGTTTGACATCCCATTCGAGTATAAAAAGCTTATGTTACAATCTATTAGGTTAAAATTCAGAGACTTTAAGAGCAAATTGACAACCAAATATATTTTACCATTTGTTGATAATTTTGAATTATTGTCTCATCTTTCAATGACATATTCAGATGTTATCAGAAAAGTAGAGTGGTCACAATTTGTTCAAGATTACCTACTGTTGAATTCTTCATATGCATACCAATCTTCTTTTGCTTTTATAATATATTGTTCAATCTAATTGTATATTAATATGTCATTGATTTTATTTTATTTTTTTTAGAAAATAAAAAAACAATAAAGAACATAGGGCCCAACAAGTGTGTCACCATCGAATATTGAAAAAGGATTATATAAATATGAAGCATGATCTTGTAAGTATTCAAATGCTTTTATTATATTCATGGTTGAAGATTATGAACTTCATTTAATGAAAATTAGAAACTTATACTAATTTATGGTTTCAAAAAACATTCAGCTCGGATACTGAAATACCAAGATTAAATGTTTGGAAAAAAAACATATGCATAAAGATGAAAAGTATGGGAATGAAGCAACTGAACAAATAGCTAAGAAGATTGTAAGCTTGTTTTGTTTTTATATCATATATGTTGAATGTACTTTTATGCATGGATAAATATTATATTTAGTTACTCATCATCATGTTGTGTTTCAGGATGAATTTGCTACGAGATATAAATCTGATGAGCTACGAACTGACTATGGTGAAGATCATTTATCTTTAACTTTAGGATCAAAAGATAGACCTGGTTATATTCAGGAGGTTAGGAGATTTGTCTTTCCAACACAATACATCAACAATCAACTGAAACCTGGCACAACAAAGAATGCTAAATATGAAGCCATAATAAAGCAGCAACAATAACAACTTGATAAGTAAGAATAATGGCTTAATAAGCAATAGTAACGACTTGTAACATGAGAGGCAATGTTGGCAACAATGCAACTTAAAATGGCTTGAGGTTAGTTTATTACCCACATCCAGCTCGAAAATGAATTCGTGGATCAAGTCTTATAGCAAACCCTTTCTCTAGTAATCATCATTGTGGTTATTTTTATGAATTGAGTTATTTTTTAATTTGATTTATGTTTTTTGAATTTTGTTAAAAGGAATAATATTTTATATTTATTCATAATAGGATGTTCAACCTCAGATCATCACACTTGCGTAGTCTACCATGAATGTGCTATCCACTTATGCACATGAGCGTTTATTAAGAGGAGACTACATTACCATGGAGGTCAAGTATTGATTATTTGATTATCCATTGAATACATTCATAGGGCAGCCAGAGATTGACACATTTTGCAAGATGAAGGAGATATCGGCTGTTGAACTTATTGCATATATGAGGTAGTTTATAATTTAATTTAAATATATTTTATGAAAATATTTTCTTATATTGTGTATAACAGTATGATACTGTTAATTTTCATTATGCAACTTCATGTACAAAAGGTTGAAGGATAGATAATTGACTGATACATACAGATTCATTGACCTAAACTTTATTAGTTATAATTTTAGGTCTCTCATTAGTCATGCTCATATGTTAGTTAAACATTGCAAAAATAGTCTAAATATTATCTGGCACCAAGTAAGTTTATTTCATAGTAATAATTGGATAATGTTTGATATCAGGCTTCTATAGTTTTTACATGTAATATATTTTAACATTATTATATATATCATTTTGCAGGGGTCATTGGTAGCATGTTGTCATTGATATGAATAAGTTTACTCCTTACCTATTAAACCCTATAGAAAAAGGGTCGATGCTTAAACTTGAGCTTGCCAATATAATAAAGAGGTATTACATTTACTTATAAGTGATCATTTTATTAAGATGTGTTTTTGTATAATTACTAGTATTTATGTTTATAAGTTCGTTTGTGCCAATTCAAGGGAATGGGTACAGTTTATAAAAACAAAAAGTTCAAATGGGTGATATTATCGATAAGTGTAAAATATATTTTTTTGTACTGAATTTGTTTAAAAAGATGTTTGACTACTGACTTAATTTCATTTTTGAGTTCTTCATCAACCAAGAGTTGTAGAATGTGGATATTATATCATCAATTTCATGAGAGAGATTGTTATGCATGATCTAATGAGAATACCATACAAGGTTAGTTTAAATACCATCTACTTACTAATATATTTCTGTTAAACATATATATAAAATGCAAATTGATTGATATTGAGTACTTATATCTTGTTAATAGTGAGGAAAAAGGAAAACTTCATGCAAGATGAAATTGATGAAGTCCGTAAAGAATGGTGTAACTACATATCTACATTTGCACATTGAGGATTGGGAACAACCAATCAGTTGTAAATTTATACAATAGTTCCAAATTCTTTATACTTCACTTAAATGTATAGTTATTAATTTTTATAAAATCATAATTGTTTCAATTAATACCAATCTCAAATGCTTTAATTAAACACTATCACGATCATTTTTTTATATATAGTTATTCAATCAGAAATTGTATTATTCATATAAGTACTATTTTTGTTATATTAATACAAATATGAAAATAGTCATATATACAAGATTAAATATTAAATTCAATTTAAAATAATGAATTTATAACATGTTAATCTATTTGTAATAACCCTAAACCTCTTTATACTACTTAAATGAATATCAACAATACATAATATATAAAAACTGACAATATGTATTGCATTTTACATGTTTCCAAGAAGAGAAAAATCAAAGGATGGGCAATAGGTATTACATTCATTTAACTATTTTCGTATGCAGCCTTTTCTAAATACATGTGACAATGCAAAGAAAAATTTTACTTTGTGATTTTTTTCAATATATACTCACTAGCAATAAGCATTTCATCAGTTGAAAAATTGTTGAGTTACATAATTTCATTGAAAAGTGACATTTTTCTATCTTTACTCTCGGTTTCTTTCTTGAAGAAAGCTCAAACACCCTCAATTTGGCTCATAGCCTTATCGTATAAGCTCTTAGATTACTTATGTGCTCAACTAATTCAGCAATTGATCCATCCTCGCTCCTATTACACTTTTTGCTTGATAATATCCTAGTGGACGTCGGAGTAGTTGAACTAATTTCTACTTCTTCTTCTACTCTTTTCTATATTTTCTTTATGACGAGAATCAAATTTTGGAGAGAAGCAAGCATCATTA